GATGAAGAAAGAAAGTAACTAACGTATCAGATTTTTTTTTTTTTTTGGAATCGACAATTGTAATTTTTCGGCAAAGATTCTTGGTTCAAATGCAGAAGATGAAGTTGAAATCTTATTTTAGTTTCACGATTGGTAATATTTTGGGTGTCCGCCGAATTTTTCCTCCCAGATTTTGTCTGTGATTTTGAGAATTGGTTTGCCTCGTCTCCAAATTTCCTGAGTCATCCTGTGGAGAAGGTTGTAGATATTTCACATTCTCTATCACAATGCATAAATTAATTATGGCCAATTCAGCATAATATTTTGTTGAGATCGTGCTTACTTGCATACATATGGATATGCATTTCTATTTTCTAAGTCGCTGAACACTTGTAGAAGCGCGTTTCTATTTTTCTTTTGTTTCTTTTGGCTTGGGCTTGCTACGTGTCGCTTTTCTATTGGACATTGTGCTTTTTTCATTTTTAGTAGATGAGCTGAGGGTTATCTTCCTCATTATTGTGTACGAGCTTGAAGCTCGAATGTTAATGGCGATTTGCCTCTTTGCTATGAAAATTTATGTTCAGATTTAAAATCTTTATGTTATATCAGTTTCTACATGGTATCTAGAGTAGGTTGATAAAGAAGGATGGAAAGACACAACGCTGAACCTGGTAGGGAAATTGTACGGAGCAGCTACGCGAAGGACATAGATCCGCTTGCGCTACATGGATCGGACCACCCTGGCATGGTCCTCGTCACATATCAGCTCACCGGAGCAAATTATTCACATTGGAATTGAGCGATGAAGCTGGCTTTGAGTGCGAAATCGAAGCTTGGCTTCGTCGATGGAACGGTGGACATACCGAAGCAAAACTCAGAGGAATTTGTTCAGTACCAAAAGGTAGAATCTATGGTCATTTCCTGGATTTTAAATTCTATCTCAAAGGATATTGTTGAAGCATTTATGTATGTGAAATCTGCTAAACAACTATGGGACGAGTTAGCTGAGAGATATGGTGAAAGCAATAGACCTCTTAGATACCAATTGCAAAAGGTGATTGCAAATTTCTCTCAAGGTTCACTCTCAGTCACTGCGTACTACACCAAATTAAAATGTCTATGGGATGAATATTCATGTCTCGTGTCTTTACCAGAATGTGTGTGTGGTTTGGGCAAGGCTATAGCAGAAAATGACATGGAAATCAAACTTATGCAGTTCTTAATGGGGTTAAATGAGGTGTTTGAGCCAGTCAAAAATCAGATTCTGTTGTTAGAACCTTTGCCTACCATCAACAGGGCATATTCAATGATACTAAAGGTTGAAAAATAGAAAAGTGTGAGTGCAGGAATATTCAATCAGACTGAAACCACAGCTATGATGGTCAGAGGCAACAATGGAAGAGGAAATGGTCGAGGTCAAAATTTTGGACGTGGAAATGTTGGTAGAGGCTTCATGGGGCAGAATTATAATACTAGAGGAAGAGGGAGAGGTACTCAGAGATTGACTAAGGAAAAAAGAGCAAAATTATATTGCACACATTGTGGCTTTAATGGACATGACGTTAGTGGATATTTCAAATTGAATGAATACCCTGATTGGCATAAAGAACTCAAAGAGCAAAGACAGACACAAAGTGTTAACATGGCTGAAAGTGAAGATTCTTCAAAGGTATATTCAGAAGTGAGGTCACAACACAGTGATTCATTACCAGACATAAGTTCTCTTTCAAAGGAAGTAGCAAAGTACCTCACAAAGCAACAAGATGTAGAAGTTCATGGTTTCTCACATTTTGTTGAACATGTTGATGACAAGGAGGGTTATGCTTTCTCCTTAGCAAACAAACTCAGCAAAAGGAGCTGGATAGTTGACACAGGAGCCAACAAACATATTTGCTTTGATGCTCAAATGGCTTGTAGGGTTTCAAGTATGATTACTCCCATGGTGGTCAGTCTTCCAAATGGTTCAAATGTGACACAAACTGGTGACATTAGACTGAATAAGCAGATATATCTTAAGGATGTGCTTTTTATACCAGAGTTCAAGTACAACCTATTATCTGTGGGACAATTGGTTGAGGACCACAAACTGAATTTTACATTCACAAGTAGTGGTTGTGAGCTGAAAGATTTGGACAGGAACAAGGTAATAGCCACAGGGGGATGCAGTTGGAGATCTATATATGATAAGAGGAGAAAATTTTGGTGCCAATGCAGTTGAGTGCAACCTGGAGTATGAGAAGCAACAACTAAAGCTATGGCACATGAGGCTAGGTCACAGCTCTATCACATGCTTGAAACACCTAAGCTTTCTAAAGGATAAGTGTTTGAACCAACAGTTGGGCATATGTGATGCTTGTCACAGATCCAAGCAATCCAGATTTTCATTCTCAAACAGTCACATACAAAGCAAAGATAAATTTGAATTGATACATGCTGATGTTTGGGGGCCTTACCATGAAGATTCATTAGTCAACACATCTTATATGTTGACTATAGTGGATGACTTTACAAGGTCAACCTGGATTTATTTGATGAAGTATAAAACTGAAACCTGTGGACATATCAAATGGTTTCTTAAGATGGTGGATACTCAATTTGGAGTGAAGGTTAAGAAATTGAGGACTGACAATGGAAGTGAGTTTGTTAACTCGAGATGAATAGACTTTTGAAGGAAAATGGTGTACTACATCAGAGAACTTGTCCATATACCCCACAACAGAATGGAGTGGTGGAGAGGAAACATAGATCCATTCTTGAGGTAGCAAGATCTTTATATTTCCACTCACAGTTGCAAAAGAACTTATGGCCATACACCCTTCTTGGTGCAGTTCAAATTATCAATACTCTACCAAGTGAGAAACTAAGGTGGAAAAGACCCTATGAATTACTGTATGGTAAAGTACCTACATACAGCTTGTTTAGGGTCTTTGGTTGCCTATGTTATGCAAAGAGGAATGTGCCACATAGGAGGAAATTTGATGAGAGAGCAGTAGCCTGTGTCTTTTTGGGGTATATTTCAGGTGTCAAGTATGACATTGAAGAGAGAAATGTGTTTGTTTCTAGGAATGTGGTATTTTATGAAGAGCAATTTCCTTTTTCAAAGGATTTTAAAGTAGCAGATTCCACAGTTCCTACTATTCCTCTACCCATCATTTCAGAAGAAGTACATCTTGATGATACTTCCATGGATTATATTAGAGAGCATAATTCACAGGAACAACTTACAAAATGCTCAGAACTCCAGCCATCTGATTCATTAACTGAGGTGAGGAGAGGAACCAGAACAAGAAAAACACCTATCTGGATGGAAGATTATTTGTCCAGTAGCTTAAGCACACCAAAGGCAGTTGCAGATGTGTCTTTGTTCTTCACTAATGTGGACAAGACATTAGCAGAACCTCTATTTTATGAATAAGCTGCCAAGGACAACAGGTGGGTTGAAGCAATGAATAAGGAGCTGCATGCACTAGAGGCCAATGATACCTGGTTACTTACTAAGTTACCTTAAGGGAAAAGAGCCATAGGGTCTAAATGGGTTTATAAGGTGAAAAGAAACCCTGATGGTTCGTTTGACAAGCTTAAGGCTTGTTTGGTAGCAAAGGGATATTTGCAAAAGGAGGGGGTTGACTTTGTGGATAGTTTTTCACCAGTGGCCAAATTGGTTTCAGCCAGACTGATTATTGCCTTGGCTACACAATTTCAGTGGGAATTGCATCATATAGACATAAATAATGCATTTCTTCATGGTTTTTTGGAGGAAGAGGTGTATATGTTACCACCCAAGGGTTATGACAAGGCGAAAAAGGGAGAAGTGTACTTGTTGAAGAGAAGTCTCTATGGGTTGAAGCAGGCCTCTAGACAGTGGAACATAGAATTCACTGATAAACTCATTGCTTTTGGATTTATTCAGTCACCACATGACCACTGCTTGTTCATTAAGAAGTCAAATCACAAGTTCTTAGCTCTTATTATCTACGTTGATGATGTTCTAGTTACAGGAGACTCCTTGACAGATATCCAGGAATTGAAAAATTATCTTCATGTTGCATTTACCATAAAAGATCTTGGGCAAGCAAAGTATTTTTTGGGATTGGAGATTCTTAGGACAACCACTAGTACTTACCTAAGTCAGAAAAAATACATTATGGATCTGATTCATGATTTGGGACTTGATGACTCAAGAGCCACAATCACACCATTACCACAAGGGCTCAACCTCTCTGGTTTATCTTCTCCACTATTCACATTACTGCTAACCCCGTCTTCCACGAGCGCACCAAACATCTTGATATCGACTGCCATGTGGTTCGCAACAAATACAAGGAGGGGTTTATTTTGCCGCAGCATGTGCCTTCTTCTTTTCAGCCCGCTGACATTTTTACAATATCTCTTGGTGGACCAGACTATTGCCGANACTTGCATACATATGGATATGCATTTCTATTTTTTAAGTCGTTGAACACTTGTAGAAGCGCATTTCTATTTTTCTTTTGTTTCTTTTGGACATTGTACTTTTCTCATTTTTAGTAGATGAGCTGAGGGTTATCTTCCTCATTATTGTGTACGAGCTTGAAGCTCGAATGTTAATGGCGATTTGCCTCTTTGCTATGAAAATTTATGTTCAGATTTAAAATCTTTATATCATATCAGTTTCTACATATTTATCTTTTATTCTACTATTAGAAGGCAAAATGTGGACCGCTTTTTAATTATTGATCACGTGACATGTTTTTCACCACAACAGCATACAACATTGAAGATGGTCTAAGATGCTGTGAAAATCAGAAAATAAAAAATGACCACAACCTAAAAGCTCATCATGGCTAATCATACAAATACAATTTTGAGATGTATTTTCCATTGATAATTGACTCCTCGCCTATCTACCACAAAAAATAAATAAATAAATAAATTACAATGCCCCCATTAACTACCGTTGGGCATCCGTATTTCTTGGTAAAATCGATGAATTACATTTGGTATTTGAACAAAAGGCCAAGAGTGAAAACGTGGTGAAAAATTTGGGAAGGTAGACGGAGAGAGATAAGGGAGACAAGAAAAGAACAAGAAAAAAAAAAGGTGTTAATTTCAGGTTCTCTTCTTTGTTCCCTATTATTCCCTCAAAAATCACAATCATTGTAACACTCAAATCCCTTAAAGAACATTCTTCTCCTGATTCAATCCTCCTCCATACCCCTGGGAATCTTACGAGCAATTAATTTATAGTACAGGTAATTTTCATATAGTTTAATTCTTAACAGGAAATGTAAGAGGTTCGTGTCCCTATCTTGATCTAGTCGCGTCATTTCTTCTTAATAAACACAAATGTTCCTGGAGTGTACGCATGTAATATCATATTTTTAGTTTTTTCCCTACATATGATCATCGTTCNAATGTCCAAAACCAACATATTAGATCAGAAAGTGCATCTTTAATTTAACCGTTGTTTTGTTCGAACCACCTATTCATGCATGCATAACACACATTTCAAAGATTCACTACAGCTCCGTATTTATTTCACGTATTTTTTTTTTTCTAAATCTTATATTTTTCTTCTAACGCCTACATACATTCATAGACGGATAGATATCTATCTATATACACAATATGGGTCCGAGCAAGTTCCGAAAAGCCATAGGGGCAGTGAAGGACCAAACGAGCATCGGTCTAGCCAAAGTCGGGAGCAGCAACTCTCTCGCCGACCTCGAAGTCGCCATCGTCAAAGCCACCCGTCACGAGGAATACCCTCCCGACGAGCGCTACGTGCGCGAGATCCTCAACCTCACCACATACTCCCGAGCCTTCGTCTCCACTTGCGTCTCGACTGTCGCGCGGCGACTCAGCAAGACCCGCAACTGGGTCGTCGCCCTAAAGGCCCTAATGCTCGTCCACCGTCTCCTCTCCGAGGGTGACTCGGCCTACGAGCAAGAGATCTTCTTCGCAACGCGACGTGGGACCCGCCTACTCAACATGTCCGACTTTCGCGACACTTCCGGAAAGTCCAATGCTTGGGACTTCTCGGCCTTCGTTCGAACCTATGCCCTTTACCTAGACGAGCAGCTCGAGTTCAAGGTGCAGGGTCGCAGGGCGAAACCCGGGGCTGCGTACGCCCAATCGCCGTCCCCTGCCGAAGAGGATACTGCTAAGGCGTTAGTCGTGAGGGGGACTCCCTTGCGCGAGATGAAGATCGACAGGATTTTTTCCCGGGTCCATCACCTCATGCAGCTTCTTGAGCGATTCTTGGCATGCCGGCCGACAGGTGAATTGAACGATAATCTATAAAAATACTCGATTCATTTATTTATTATTTATCAATTATCAACTTTTGCAGGCGCGGCGAAGGAGAACAGGGTCGTGTGCGTGGCGCTGTACCCGATCGTGAAGGAGAGCTTCCAGCTGTGCTACGACATAACCGAGATACTCGGCATCCTCATCGACCGCTTCATGCAGCTCGAGATTCCCGAGATGGTCAAAGTCCACCACATCTTCTCCCGAGTCTCGAAGCAGTACGACGAGCTCGACTCGTTCTACGCGTGGTGTAAAACGGTCGGCGTGGCACGATCCTCCGAGTACCCAGACGTCGAGAAGATCTCCCAGAAGAAGCTCGACATGATGGACGACTTTATCCACGAGAAGTCCGCCCTAGAGCAGAACCGCCGGCCTGGATCAGTCGAGCCAGAGCCCGATCCAGAACCCGAGCCCGAGGCAGAACCGGACATGAACTCAATCAAGGCGTTGCCGCCGCCAGAAGAGTTTCCGGACGAAGAACTCGAGGAGGAGAAGAAGGAGATGAAGGAAATCAAGAAACCGAAGGATGAGGATAAAGAGATGAGAATCGCGCAAGAAGTCGGAGATCTGCTGAATCTCGGAGCGGACGGACCCACCACGGAGGAGCACGGCGATAAGTTAGCGCTGGCTCTGTTCGACAGCGGCGGCCAGACAACGGCGGCGGGATCTGGGAAGGCGCCGTGGGAGGCGTTCAAGGACTCGGGTGACTGGGAGACTGCATTGGTCCAATCGGCTAGCCACCTGTCGAACCAGGCGGCACGTCTGCCAGGTGGCATGGACTCGATGGTGCTGGACGGGATGTACCAGCAGGGGAGGATGACGCAGGCGGTGGCAAGCTCGGGGCTCGTGGCGACTGGGAGCGCGAGCAGCGTTGCGTACGGGTCGGCTGGGAGGCCGGCGATGCTGGCGCTGCCGGCGCCGGCGGGAGGAGGAGAGACGAGCTCGTTTGCGGATCCGTTCGCGGCGTCGCTGGGGATAGCGCCGCCGGCGTATGTGCAGATGTCGGAGCTGGAGAAGAAGCAGAGGCTGCTGGTGGAGGAGCAGGTGATGTGGCAGCAGTACGCGAGGGACGGGATGCAAGGGCAGGTAGGGGGACTACAACAGCAGCACAATGTGTACCCCTACAACACTAGAACGTTTTGATTGATTTAGTCAATTGTGGGTTTTGGTTTGAAGAAAGGGAAAAGGAAAATGGAGTTTGTGATTTACGGAAGAGTATGTTGTATAATGTATGGAGATGACAAGCGACAGAGTTTGAAAATTTTTCGAGTTGTTCTTTGATCTCCTTTCTCTGACAATTTTTTTTTTTTTTGAATTTGCTACTTTTAGATGTTGAGGTTGACGATCATGATTCTAAAATTATCAACTGCTAGTCTCGTATTCCAGCACCAAAGCCTTCTATAAGGAAAAGGAGAATGGGCAAAGAGAGATATGTAGTGATGAATAGTTTAGTAAATTAAGCACTTGTACGAGGCAAACCTATAAAATGATTTTTGAAAGATCATACACATACGAACACTCGTACGGATATGTGTTGATCTCACAATTCCTAAACAGGTGTAGGCTTTCACTGGTATGCATGCATGCGGATTTACTTACTAATGAGTATAGGTCAAAACAATATAAAAATGGGAAACGTACATTTCCCAATCGCGAGCTAATGATAAATGGCCACTATGACTATAAAGTCATCTTAGATAAGAAAATACAATAAAGAGGAAATAATGATGATTTGTATTGCTAAGTCATCTGGTGATTTGGATTTACGGTTAGTTCCTTATGGCCGTACACACAAGTTTTCGCGTTTCGCCTTTATTTAACACACTGAGTTCTATTGTTTCTTGATGGATACACCTAATCTCATTCCAACACGAACCAAAGTTTCCAGTGATCTCAAGCTGTTTTCCAGCAAGTCCTCATCTATCTTGATTGCACCCTGTGGAATTCCATATAGAAATACATGTATTGTGCATGCTACGTTGTTAGAAAAATATACATATATATTCAAGATTTTATAATATATATATATATATATATATATATATATATATNATATTTTAGCAACTCTTGTTTATGCACAAATGGTTTAACAAAAAAAAAGAAAAAAAACACAGGCATTTTTTTAACAAATTTGAAGAGAATAAGAACCTTCTCAAAGACACAAATGACCGTGCTTCCACCAAATGAGAAATACCCAAACTGCAAAAGAACGGCAAATAACATTCAGCAATATATTTGAATATATATGAAAAGAAATAACGACAGCCGGATCAATTTTAACGAACCTCATCTCCTTTTTTGACATAGTCGCCTTTGTTCTTAGAAAAAGTGATGCTACCAACCATTGTAGCACCAATTGAGACAAAAGCCACCTGCACCGAAGATGCACTTTCCATTTATGCAGTTAAACCCAGATTTTGTTTTTAGTGTAGTATGTATAAGTCAATGCTGCATCAAAAAGTGTATACATATTGTAGAAAAGAATGAGGATATTGTTCAAGGGATCAATGAAAGTGTTGAAAATGAATTAGTCCCCAAGGCATAAATTAATGGAAAAGTAAGGGAGGCAGACATGACTAGTCCCACAATAAAAGATAATTCGGGAATATTTGAATAAGATATTTGCAATGACAAACCTTTCCAAATTCCTTTGTCGATATCAGGGACACAACACGCTTATTTTCGGTGAACACATTACAGTACTTGCTATTTACTGCAATTGGGTTAACCTTGAAAGATCAAAATAGCATAAATGAGGATGTTCACAGATAAGCCAGAGGCCGTGAGTATATAAATGTTTTCAGAAATTCAAAATACCGTGTATAAGCATCCAGGTATCTCGACAAATTTCTCAATAGTTCCAGAAACAGGAACGTGGAATCGGTGATAGTCCTGAAATAATTTGATTAAAAAAGTTCTGACTCTGGGACAAAATCAAAATATCACAGCAGAAGTCATTAAATGACCACCTTCTTTGTAATCAAGAACAAGAGAAATTGCTACTAAGAGAGAGAGAGAGAGAGAGAGATTGCAAGAATAGTACCTGAGGAGCCAACCGGAATATAACTAGACTTCCATCAATAAAGGAATCAGAGCAAAATTCAGTCCCCAAAAGACCTTGTACAGAAAATTTTCGTCCCTGGAGCAGTCAAATAGATTCTCATTTATATGGGGCGAAAAAATCATATTAGGCAAACAAATTATGCTAGACCAAATTCTTTAATTGGGTAATGGTTCTTGCAAAATTTTGATAACGAATAGCAAATAATGAAATCAAGCTAAATGAGAAAAACTTGCGCAACTTCTGATATTTTACAATTAACCTTATGACTCTTCTTATGGAACACATTGTCCTGGAAAGACTTATGAGGTAACCTCGACATATGTAATACCTTAATCCAAAATCTTGTAGAATCAGTTACAGTAGTATATGCCGTCAAGCGGCAATCAGCTGCACAAACTGCAATGTCATCACAGTCAAGGTCGGCAATTGGCCTCGCACCAGGTTTCAACTCTCTTATAAAGAATTCGTTGAAGGTCTGCAACCAGAATAAAAAAATAAAAATAAAAAGAAAAATTATGGGCAGCAGTTTCTTTTAATGTCTGATCTCAAATTGTTTGCTCACCTTAAAGTGCTCTAAAGGGTATTTGATTTCGGACACGTTTATTTGATCCTGCAACATTATCAATAACAGCAATCAGGGAAAATCTTGTCATCGCATATCAAAAGCTGCAGAACAACTGAAATTACGTGGAAAAGCAGTCTGCAGTATCTGTATGCACGAGAGAGCAATCAATAATTTGTACTTACATGGAAAAGAAGTCTGCACAAAATGTTGCACAAAAGGGCAGTAATAAATAATTAGTTTGGAAATGATTGAACAACTGTCTCAATAATTCTCAATTTATGGACAATGTCATTTTTTTCATGCACCATCATGTTTCAAGAAGGTAAGAAAAAAAAAATGCAATTTTCAATTTGGTCTCAGCTTGCCATGATAAAAAGATAGTCCTGCGGCTTATGAGAAAGCCTCAGCTTTTCTGAAAACCAAAATGTGAGGAAGTAGAGAAGACAAAGATATGAAGCATGTCTGCACTGAAACAAACCAAATCGTGACAAGTTTCACCAACATGCACAAAACATGGTTTTTAATGGCAACTGTAAGCATACTGATCCAAATTCTAGAGAATACAAGTAGAGCATATACTGTGCACGACCGAAATTATTATCATGCCTTGAACAAAGTAATGAATTTTGTTATGTCCTTAGCAGATTCAGTTGAATCCATTTTTCTGCCCTGTTTTTCTGAGATGCTTTGCAAGAGTTCCTTTGCCCCTGCATTAAATAACAATTTGGAAAGTAAAGACATGAAATACAAGGTGAAACTAACAAAAATTATGGCATAGTAGAAATGAAACATCCCTGTTCACATAGTTAGATTTATTTACAGAACCAAATAATGAAAGAATTTTCTCATGATTCTCAAAGAACTAGAACAAAAATGCAGATACATGCATGAATGGAGAAAAATAATCAAATGTTTCCCACAAACAGGAACCTTTGTCCATAAGGCCAAGTCCTACTTTAGATTGATAAATGGCCCTCATAGATAAAACAATTTTGGCATCAATAATTTCCTCCACAAGTCTCCTTGTATGCCGATCGAAAACCTGCATGAAAAGTTCTATCCGATGAAATTTTTGAGAATGTGGTCAAATGTGTTTACATAAAATAAATATATATAGTTTTGAAAAAAAACAGACGAAGCCTATCCATTTCTTTCAGTTGGCAAGAGTTATTCTATAGGTGGAATTATAGTGTGAATTACATAAGCAACACGCTGCCGGGCTACGGAATCAAAAATTTATTAAGAGAAAAAATAATAAGTTCCAATCAGTTAAATGTTTCAAAAAAGAAAAAGAAAAATGAAAACAAAACAAAAACAAAAAAGAATCACACTTCATTGAAACAAAAGTTCAGCCAAAGAAGTGTCTTGAGGCAACACATGAAAATGATGAAAATGAAAATGAGCTGAGGGAAAAGTTACCAGTATATGTGATGCACTGGATCCAGACCTCAGTCCTACTTCATATGATGAAAAATGAGCCCATTCACTCACTTTGAACATCCACCTGCAGAAGAATGTTGATGTTTGACCGGTCAAATGGAAACAAAAGGTTACCCACTATAACGTTTATGGATGGTTACAAAAGCGAGATCGTCAAATCACATACATGTTATAGACAACGAACAAAAACAGCGATCACTTAAGTAGTTCCTATAGATTGGTAATAATGAATGTAATTATCATGGCAATTTCTCTTGAATAATTAATATGAATGTTCCACACACGAGATTTATGATTTCTTGCATTCTTTTCATTTCAAATCTCTTGTAATAAAATGTTACCACTCCCGGATTCTACATAACATTTCTTATCTTTTGCTATCATATGCCTATGGCAGAAGCCAAATTCAATTTTAGTCCTCACATAATCCTGAGGCAACATCTATAATAAAATCATCCCCCCCAAAAGCAAGAGAAATTCACAATAGATATGTCCTCACCCATTGGAAGCCTGCTTATCGGTCAAAAATCCTCCAGTCATCACCTGATTTCCAGTCCCTTCATCAAAACACAGAGTCAAATGAACTACCGCATTCAACTTATCAGACAATTGTAGAATTTCACCACAGACGGGACAGCAATTAATTAGTGGATCCCTGCAGTAAAAAGATTTTAAGCCAAACATAAGTACACTTAAAGTACAAATGAAAATCACAAATCTTCACATCTTCTCAACATGAGTCGAGCAATCAACATTGTGTAAATGCGCAGGCAAAGCAGATTATTCTTTGTTATTATTATATCCATTTACCATACCAAGGATAATAAAAGCTTCATCAGATACATGAGGCATCCATGGTCGAATAATACAAGAATGAAGAAGGAAAGATAGCAGAGCCATTAAATATAGAATGTACCAGAGGGTTGAGAAATCCATAGAATTTGATAATACGTAAACGTCTGCTTTTGCCAAAAATTAACTGCTTACTTTTCAGTTTGAATGGCTAGAAGCATAGCTAACTCATCAATGCTGACAACCCCATCCCCATTTTCATCAGCAGCTTGAAAAAGTTCCTCTTTCTGAGAACAAGTTGAATGAACAATGAAACAAAAGAAATCAATGGGCCAAAAAAGCACTTAAAGAGGTTTCGTTGTGTTGTAGCCTGTAATCAGTACCCTACTCACTACTCAGCACTATCCTGAGGCAGCATATATAGTTAATTAAAAGCCAAGACAGATATAACTAGAGACACACCCCTCAATTTGGACATGTATGTTTAAATGTCCATTCAATGGGGAAATAACAATGTCGTAGACACAAGCAACATTTGTTTTAGAGCATTATCCATCCAATCACTTTAGTTTCTTGATAAATGATGACTGGCAATGGCTACATAAGTATATTTTCAGAATTTTCAAGCAGCAATTCAACTCTGGTGGTGACTATTATAGGAACTATGTCAATCTAATAAATGATCTACGTGAGGAAACAGCGCCCTTCATCGGTCTATCCAAGTGATCTCTGACCATATCATTAATTACCACTTTTGTAAACCTAAATGTAGAAATGATCACATTGCCATAGCATGAACAAAAGGGCCAGTTAATCCTTTTTAATTTGTCCTTAGTGACAGAAATGAAACACACATAAAAGTACAGGAGCAAACCTTGGTAGCAGCCAATTGGTTGCCGAATGCATCAATTAAGTTGGAGAATTCAGCATATGATAGACATCCGTCTTCATTGTAATCCTGTATGA